GTACAAAAGGCAGTCTTATATTGGTCTTTTGGTTCTACCTCAATTTGATGGTAGCCAGACTTCAGGTTAATTTTCGTGAAGTACCTGCTACTGCGACACACAGGCCCTCGATTTGCCTTACAGGGCCTTATTTCCACTCAGTCGACCGCCCTAAGTGAAGGCAGGCATGACCAAGGCCCCCTGGCCATTTTTGGGTCACCACGCAACTGGGGAAAGTTCAGGCAGTTGCGCAGCACCAGTTGGTTGGAAGCGCCCAGGCCCAGGCTGCCTTTCATTGCATGTAACTGAGGCAGGCCCTGGGACGGATACACCAAGTGGACCAACAAAGGCTAAGGTCAGTTGGGTGCTGGTAACCACCACAGGCCTTGGGCCTATTTACTTCGGACTGAGGCTCAACCTCGTGGGGCCTACCGGAAGCTTTTGGACCAGGGCCCGGTACCGCATTACTGCATGCAGCAGCAAGCCACTTCGATATAGAGAAGGGCCTGCCTACGCATTGGACATTCGGGCACTGGCTGCTTTGTGCGCAAGCGTTGCTGCGCTATCGCCTGCCAGGCTCACGCACTCACGGGTGAGCTGGAAGGAGCAGGCAGCCATAGCCGAGCTGCGTTGCTGGATGGGGCGCATGCTGGTCCTTGGGTGCAAGTGGCAACTGTGAGTTGGGGAACGAGGTTGTGAGTGATACGAGAAACGTACCTGGTGTTTGAAGCGTGCGACATTGGCCGAGATCTGCTCGTACTTTGGGGAGTTGTTGACGTCATCAGCGGCATTGTATAGTAAGTTAGATAGGATTTGCCATCTGTAGTCTGGGCGCCGAGCTCGAGATAGGATATCAACATTGGTTCTTCGTTGATGATCATGATGAGACTATTCCAACATTGTCAATTATGAGATTTTCGTGTGCTCTTATTTGGTGAAACTCGTGATGCAATTCTGCTTTTGGTTCGAGGTCACGACTATCTGGTCTCATGTGTAATATGTTGTTTGATTGCTGAAGTTTGCTATTGCTCATCGTCCTTGCAATTTCGTATCGGAGTTGTGGTTCGGTGCGCTAATTTGGCGCTTATCTTCTGCATAATGTGGTACATGCACGCGGTGTTTACGGTGAGCGACCGTGCCGTGGGCCGTGTGAAGTGAGTAGGGCGAAGATAAGTGGCGACCCAGGAGGTGAGGGGTATCGCCAGGAAGGTTGTGTATGATTATTGGGTGTTCGCAGTGTGATGAGAACTATCTGGTGTGTGATTGATGCTGAGGTGGAACAGTTGTGCAATGCTGGTTATGCCGAAGCAACGATTGGTCACCATAATCAACATCGGGTCATCTGGTGAGAATATCTGTGGTTGGGGGCAGCTATTTTGAGGTACGTTGCACCTAACCTTATCTACCCTCTTCAAAGCTCGGGTACCTCCCCTCACAACTGGCGTGGCCGCTCCGCTCCTCATGCAGGTCTTCCCCTCTTTCTTCCCCGTCCTCACGTCTGTCACACATGTCCTGTCTCCCTTATCTTTCCCCATGACAAGACTCACGTTGCTCACATTTCTCCGCCCCTTCCTCGTCAGAGGCCTGAGCCTTGTTTCCCACATCTGCTTTGCCCCCTTCTTCCACGCTTGCCCTTTCCTCCTCGCTCTCATTCCCAGACGAGATATATATACGTTCTCCCTTCCGGAGGGGCGAGGGTCCTCTACACACACGCTTCCTCGCACCCCTGCCCACCACTTGCCCGGATATGAGCCCTATGTACAACTTTCTCTTTGTCATCCTCCTCCCTCGACTCGGTCCCGCTTCTTCCCCTCTGGTAGGCCTGTTGATCGCCCCACTGTCATTCTCGTTGCCGAATTCCATTTTTACTTTTTCTTGTGTTTTTCTTCTTGGTCCTGTATAACACAACACCCGCCAAGCCCCTCATACACCCGTTTCCCCAGTCCGATAGGCAGCTCCCCTTACCCAGAATGCTCCCAGTATCCTTCGCATCATGCCACTATTATACGTTTCCCTCTCTTATGCAAATGCCCCTTTTGTGGTGATCCCATTATTTCCCCATAAGAAATTATGATACAATGTTCTCGACAATCTTTCCCGTCGTCAAAGAAAACCCGTTATCGCAAAATCCCAAGTCATCCTGCCTTCCAACCTCAGTCAGTCCAAACCATTGCCCCAGCCCCAAAAAAATGACAGTCCCACGGACGCAGTCAGAGACAAAACCATAGTGTGGGCAAGGTCGTTGTCAGTCCTTAGCTTGTACCCCCTCAGTTTCCTTATCCTCGGCCCCCTGAAGCCATTGTTTCACTGGGTCCCGACTTAGAAACCTGACTAATCGTTGCCCCAGGAAGGGTCCTTTCAATCCAGTCCCATCCAAATCTTCCAGTTCGAAGGTGTTCAGTCCCACCCGCTTGGCGACCCGGTAGGGACCTTTGAACCTCCTCCCCAGTTGCCCAGACCAAGTACTTTCCAGTGCCGAGTTCCTTAGCAATACCGTGTCCCCCACCAGAAGTGGCTCCTTTTTGACATTCTTAACCTGATCCCATCTCGCTTTGTCCCTCATTCTGCTGTCCAGTACCCGGTTGGCGATGTCTTCCATGACTTCCTCGTTTCTAAGAACTTGTTGACATCTCGCCTCAATCAACTCTTCCGTGGTCATACGCGAATCATCCTGTTCCAAGTAGGTATGAAGGCCTCCACGGGAAAGTCGATCTTTCTTCCATACCAAAGTTCTGCTGGGATACATCCCGTTGTCCTCTTAGGTGTCATGTTCTCAGAGAAGACAACTTGCTTAAGATTCCTAGGCCAACTCCCTAGATGGTTCGCCGCGAGCTTCGCAATCGTGTTCTTTAATGTCCGGTGGCCTCTTTCCACAGGTGCATTGGCCACCGGATGATATGGCTCGATGAGCTTGATTGGTACGCAGAGCCTCTTAAGCATCAACACTTCTTGGTTCACAAAATTTGTCCCATTGTCTGCTATTAACCTCCTGATGAAGGGATGCCTCAAGTAGAAGTCCTTTATCCAATCGGCTACACTTCTCCTTGTCTTTTTCTTGAGAGCGACCGCCTCTACGAACTCAAGTTGTCTCTCGCATCCAAGATATATAGTTGTACCCATCTATTGATACAGGCATGACCGCAAGGTCAAGGTGGACCAGATGTCCCGACCCCAACACCCGCGTTGGTTTAAGCGGCTCGAAGACGCCTACCGAGCTCCGTTCTTAGCAGATCAGGCAGGTCTGGCAGTACGTGGCGACCATTCCTGCCATGCATGGCTAATAATAGAGCGGCACTATCTTCGCAAAAGTTCCTTTGGAYGATCGATGTCCTCCCGCTAGTCCRTCGTGCATTGCCTGGATCACGTCCAACTGTCTAGATCTCCCGCACACCACTCTCCTCGGCATGGCACCTTCCTCCCTTCTAAATAGGTGACCACCCTTTAGGACGTATCTTTCGACCTCCTCCCTTGCTTTAACGCTAACTTCCACGGGTTGTTTGTTTCCCACCAATAACAACCCAATCTCCCGGAAAATCCCTTCGTATACAAGAGCATAGAAAACCCCCTTCCCTTCCTAGTCGTCGTCCCTTCTCTCCTGCATCTGGTTTATTATCCACTTCAACTCTTTCTTTTCCCAAGATTCCACTAGGCTCATCACGGCTTCCTAGCCTCCCTCAACACCGCAGGCTCTGCGACGAAGGAGTCCATCTTTGCTCGAAGAAGGTCTGTCACTTCCCCCGCTGTCCCAAACTTATAGGACGGACCCTTGTCATTCCAGCACTCATGCTCTACCATGTGGATTCTGACTAAAGGAATCAGCTTCGCGTCCAATCGCCCCTTTTAGTGATCACTAAAGGCAAATGCCAGGTGAAACTCCTGGCATGTCCTTTTGATCAAGCGGGTTTCTTCTTCTGTTAAGAATCCCTCGACCCCTATCTTCATTGTATCCGCTACCTCATCCGGTATCCGATGCCCCTCCGTCGCTTGCCTCTCTCGGATCACTCGAAGGACTTTGTCCTCCTTCTCCATAGTCTCTTCCTTAGATGTCTCTAGCAGGATCGAGACCGGTTTCACTTTCTTTCCTACTGGTTTGTACTGTCGAATACTTCCTTCCGGGATCTCTCTTTAAAAATGAACGGTCGCAATTACCCTCGTCACCTTTACGATTCATGGTTGAATACTGACTAACTTTCCATTGAGACAATATCCCTTCTGCACTTCTCCTTCGAATTTGGTCAATGCCGCCGAGTCCACTCCTACGTTGTGGTATCTGATGGCCTTGATGAGCTGTAACAAATGAGGAATCTCGAGTGTGACTTCGGGCATGTCCATGTGCACTTCTTTCCGCTTGGGCAGGCTGGCTCCGAGTTCGACTTCTGATTCCCTTTCTGCCACCATAACACCTAAAATTTCGCCTCCTGGTTCTTCTTCTGGGGCAGGCCCATCTTGATCCATTCCTTCTTATTGAATGCTTCCTCGATTATGATTTCTACCCTTTCTCTCATGCCTTCCATCCGCGAAAAACCCCGTTCCGCGCGCTATCTTCGAAAGATGGTGACCATGTTGCTAATTTCCCCTTCGGAGGGTCTCCCCCCGTCCCCAGGAGTAGGAGGAGCTCCCCCCGGCCGGTCACTGGGTCCTCTATGTCTACCATGTGCGTGCCATCGTGCAAGTGCATACCATGTACGTGCCATCGTGCAAGTGCATACCTATCATTTCTACGTTTGCGCACCACGATCTCCCGAGGATTATGTCGTGGTCCATTTCCTCCATTACGGTCATCCGCTGAAACGACCAGATTGACTCCCTGATTCCTGCCTTGAGTGCGCATTTCGTGACATACCCAGCGAACGAAATTTCCCCACCGGCTCCCCGGATGGTCCCTGTTACTTCCTTATTTACCGTACAACCCGTGATTGTTGCAAACTCTCTCCTTATGAGAGTGATTTCCGCTCCCCCGTCTACTAATGCGTCAGTATGACGAGTCCCGATCTGGATTTTCAACTTTCCTACGGGTAGCGCATGGAAGCTGAGCTTTGTTTTGGGAGGTGCCCTCATGACCTCGCCACCTTCTCGGTCAGGCAAGCTCAAGCGGATGTCCACAAAGGCTTTCTTGAGATCCTCCAAATCCCCGCGACTCCTTTGAAGGTTAGCGACTTCTTGCGGAGCTTCCTCCTCCCTTTCTTCTTCCGGTGATTCGGGGTTTTTGTCTATCTCTACTCGCCGTCGAGTCAACAGTTGTCTAAGCCTCCTGAGCAACCTAGGGCTGCCCTACAGCATGGTCTGAAACGACACCGACACCATGGTTCCTAGTAATTTGGTTAGGGTGTCATCGATCTCAAGTATGGTTAAGATCGAAATTTGATACCTAAACTTCTTTTTAGCAACGGTAACTTTGTCTATAGGCTCCTCTTCCCTAGGTTTCCCATAAACTTTCTCTGGTTCCCCGGCCTCGGGCTCCGCCTGGGGCACGGAGCTTCCAACAACCTCCTCCATCACGGTATCACGGATAATCCTTCTCCCAGCCGTCCCTAGTCGAGTAGTCGCGTTCACCGTATCACGTCCGTCGTTTTCCAGAATGAAGTTGACCTGCGACCCGCGTCCCCGAAGTTGATCCCAGATGATATCGACCACGGGCTCAGCTTCTACGGCCGCTATCTCTAGCCCATCGAGCATGATAATGGCTCGCCGCATCCCCCCTGGTGAGTTCCAATTCACCCGTTCTCCCTGCGGTCCGAATATCTCTCCCTTTAATGACCTGGTACATCTCCTTTTTAATATATCATGGTTGAGTTTTGGACACGCGCGCACAAAATATCCCACCGCGGTGCAGTACTTGCATTGCTCGTTAGCGGTATCTCTCTGTCCGAAACCTCGATTGGCTACTCCTGGGGGAACTACGGCTTCCTGGGGAGGGAGGGCGGGTCGGGATACTTGCGCTTGCATAACTAGTAGCGCGTTCTCCACCCTTTCAATCTTGCTATCGACTTCGTGCACCCGTTCATGTAGACTTTCAATCCCCTTCTTTACCTTGTCACCTGTCCTACCAGTCAGATCTATGACCTCCCATTCCTTAAGCAAGGCCAATGTCTCGTTCACTACCGTCTTCTCGGCCAGATCCATTACTGTGCTGAAATCAACATCCCTGGTGTTTACAAACTTGCTGGTCTGTTGGTAAGCCGACAAAATCTTGTCTTTGTCGAACTCGAAGAATTGCCTGAGGAAGTATTTGTTCATTATCCGTTCCGTAACCCCGGGGATCCTTAGTGCTACGAGGGTAAACTCCCGTAGGAAGTCATTGTATGTTGTGAAGTTCTTCCTCTGCACTGCTGCTAAACCGGCCTCCGTTGTCATTTTCTCTGCTGCTAAGTATTTCCTCATCATTACATCCCGGGTTTCCTTCCAGGATCGACTCGCGGCTACGATGGCCATTATGTCCCGCCCCAAGCTCAAAGACACATGCTGCCCCAGGTGGTCCATCTTTTCTTCTTCGGTCCATTTCAACAATGCGGTGTCGAGCGCATCGGTCCCGCGCGGGGACCCTCCCGACTGCGTCACGCAGGATTTTGCAGGACTTGTCACGGAGAGCATTTGCCGCTCCGACCGAGTGCGCCAGCCGTACCTCTTGCGAGCCCCTACGACAGGACAGGTTTACGCGAGGCACCGCTTACCTCCACTTGCGGGAGCTGTCACCATCCCTTAGGTGGGCGTATCCCCGCCGAGCTACTGAACCACATGCGAAGGTTTTTCGTATGCAATTGCAGAGGTGGCGCAGCCGAGGGCGTTTCTCGTTCGCTGTAGCATAGGGGGTTACGCGAGGTGGATAGCCCAAAAATCGAACCCGCACGCGAATCGACGCACTGGGGGGCTGAGGTCCCAAACACGGCTCGGCGTCGGTCGACTAGGACGTATCACACACACCACGCGTTACACCACACACTCACATCTACACACCATAAAACTCAAAACAAATATCACAAACAACACTCCTAGTCCCTTCAGAATCCGGCCCATAACTTTATGCCAGGAGAATCAGATGGGTATCGCACGCTGGGCTTTCGTATAAGAGTCGTGCGAGCGCTTGACCCCCTCATATCAACCAGCCATGCGGGCATACGCAAGCATTCGTGCTGATGGGGTACTACGTAGTACTCATAACCACGCGACCCTTGGTAATCTCGAGGGTCGTGCTCGACACTCAAGTGTCAGCTGACAAGCGCTTTGAGGAGTTACCTTCTCGGCGCTAGACAACCGCCATGCGCGGTTGAAGACCACACCCTCTTCTGCACCCTGTGCAGAGGGGTTGAGTAGACAGCTTCAGGGCTGTCGTGGTAGCCAAACTCAAGAGGTTTGACTTTGACGGCTACCACGGACTGTAACGTCCAACCTTGGAAACTTAAAGGAGGAAACAACTGCCGATAGAGATAGAGGATCACCCCCGTTCCTCTCTCTTTCTGGCCCATAATCTGATAGCGGTCTCAGATGGAAGAGGTAGGCCAACACGAAAGATGTGTGCGGATGATGCCCAAAATCAGACCCATAGGCAACGCGATGTTCGAGACGTTGGAGACTCGTACGCGGGTCCCCCTAGGACGACTAGGGTTGATTCCCTGCCCATGCGTCGTTTTGTGCTGCCAAAACTCGGGTCTACTGGCCGTAACGCTTTTGCCCTCTCCACTTGACCCATAACTTTTGAGCGCGGAAATCGGTAAACGCTGCGCGTGTGGGTTAATATAAAACCGCGCGGACGCAAGACCTGCGCATACCTGACCAACAATCCGGGCTTGCGTAAGCAGTCGTGATGACGACACAGCATGTGGTGCCCATACCTGAGTGGCCTCATCTGAGCCATGGGGTCGCTCTCGACGCTCAGGCGTCGGCTGAGGTGCGTGCTAAGGGGGTAACCCTTTAGCGAGCGCAAAACCGGCCTGAGCGCCTTACCATCTTCAGCACCCTGAGGTGCCCCAACGGGTGGGGGGTAAGATGGTCCCTAGGGCAGGAAGGGATTCAGAGCGGTGGTGAGTTGTCTGGCGGATCACCAGCGGCTCGCTAGTCCTTCCGCCCGGAACTTTATCATTCCACCAAAATAATTTAAAACAAGGAAAGAAAAAAAGGAGTACTTAATTGCAGGGGAAGACAGGAACGCCCCGCCGGACCGAGTTGCTGGGGGACAGCCCCTCATCCTTGCGGCGCTTCCGTTTCCCCTGGCATCAAGTAAATCAGCCCCTGTGCGAGGGGTGATCCCTTCAGCGCTGAACCTAGGACCCGGAACGTCCTGGACAAGGACCTTGAATTCCATGCCTGGGACTAACGTCAGACCAAATAAAATCTTTGAGTAGAGAAAAACGTAAGCGTGCGGTCGCATAGCCCTACACGGGTTAACCGAGCGTACGCTTACTCTGATTACCACATTATCAGGATGGGAAAGGAACAATTTCACTCAAACATAAAGTTGTGGGGTAGTTCACTCTCACGATAGTTGTGTGGTTTACCCATCTGAATCCAAACATAATCACTCAACAAGATTTAATCGAGATTCTCTCATACATACTTGCAATCATACGCACAACATTCAAACAACATCACACACACTAAAGGGGTCAACTTTTCAACCTTCTGCTGCTCACACCCTGCCTTATGCCCGCAAGCCCAACCATCTCCCCACCAATTCTCAATGAAGATACTCTGTCTTTAAGAAATGGCCATTTATAAAGAAACTGGGTGAAAACCCAAAGAAACACATAAATCCTGGCAAGGGCCAAGGCCTTAGGTTGAGAGGCAGGAGAAATAGGGAAGTTGAGTCGTAAACCGACGAATCGGCAACCGACCTGTTATTAGTGATAACAGAAGCGTGATCCTTCTGACAGATCGGCTGATCAGATCAAGCCTTCAGGCGAAATATTGAAACTTGCATCACATGTACAGGCCAAAAGAACCACTACTATGTTCATGCCGAAAGGGAGAATACCCCCTAAGTTGTAACCTAGCTCCTCTACTAACCTTACTGTCAATTCTCCTCACTGGTACCAAGTCGCTGTGTATCTCCCCTCTTCAGGGTAGATCTGCTACGTAGCCCCCTGCTGAAAAATATTCGAACTCCTCAAATTCTGCGAAATTTCGGCAGGGCTTCCCGTAGGAAAAGTGCCTTTCCAGAATCTCTACGAGCCTAAGAATGACCATCTCTTTTAGATTTGTAGAAATTTCGGCAGCGCTTCCCGCAGGAATAGGAGGCTGTCAAGATTTATACAAAGCTGAAAGACAGAAAGACAAAGCAAGCTATACTTGGGACTATCTTCTGATACCTGCTTGATGATTTAGAATCAATGACAAGCCGCATGACCTCTAGATGAGATTGTGAGCTAGCCCTGATCCTAACTCCTAGCAGGGTCAGTCCTATCTTTATCCTAAGCTCTCCCTCCCACCATCCATCTCATCTACCTATGGCTCCAACACTTGGCGAGCATCTAAGCAACTAACCTATCCAAAAAAACGCCCCAGGGTGAGAGCCCACAAGCATGCATAAACAAACATCTCTCACAATCAACACATCGGGTTGACCCAAGTAGTTCGTTAGATCACTCAGTTCTTTTCCCTTAGTAGACCCCCTTGCCTATGGCATACAATCAGACTCACCCAAACATGGAAGGGTGTAACTAATTTGCCTAAGTAACAGATAAGGTACGCATAACTGGACTGCCGTACCCTAGGGTGTGTCCAACATAACATACACTGTATACATAATGCATATGACCAGACCGCCCTACCCTAGGGTAAGTCTGGTTTCTGCCAACCTAACGACATGAAGCATAGGACTGGGCTGCCCTAACCCTAGGGTGTGCCCAGCCTGCCCTATACAAGGTTACATATGGCATAACATCAGACCATCCCTACCCAGGCGTAGGCCTAACTTGCCTGAACATAAGTACAAACGACAAAACGTTGGACCGCCCTAACCCTTAGGGTACGCCTAGTTAGCCATACAACAGTTAATATGCAAGTTTTTCTTTCTCCTGTTAGGCAATTGATCGGACCTTTCCAACAAATGGAACTTCCGATCCGCCCTCTTTAATGTTATTATGAGCATAGAACTGAACCGCCCTACCCTAGGGTACGTTCAACATGCCCTGTTACCTTCTTTTTATTTTTCATCCATTTCCTTTCTTCTTTAGTTCTATTTGACTTATTGACTGGCTTTCCCTACCGAATTCTAGTACTACTACGACGATGACGACTTCTAGTACTACTGCTACTACGACTTCTAGTACTACTACTACTACTTCAAGTATTACTACTACTACTACTACTACTACTACTACTACTACTATTCCTTATTGTCATCGTATGCCCGGTCTGCCAGAAGTATAAGTTCAAAATAATATATGTATGCAATTTTATACTCTGGTTGACCAGTTGATTCATGGCTCATGGCTAAGCCGCCCTACCCTAGGGTACGCTTAGTCTTATGCCCTTTGTTCCCTCAGAAGAAACATGCACCTCAACTCGTTCAAATAAACACCAGGAATCTGAGCCGTCCCTACCCTAGGGTGCCCGTCCTCCTGTTCGGAAACCCCAAAAGAAACAGCGACTGATCCATCCTACCCGGGTGGGACCAGCCATGAAAGCCATTCACACCGCCCAGCAAACATCAATAAAACACAGCACCGAGCCCACATCCACCCGGAGGGGCTCAACCTTGGTTTGACCCGGTCAAAGCATGCAAAACATCTTTCACCCACCTTCCCCCCATTCCTTTTGTCTGAATTCTCTCAAGGGGATTATCTGAACTCTCATATTTACTTGTTCATTTAACTTTCCACAATGCATATCCTGACATACATAACAAAAATAGAAAATTTAAAGCAATAACCTTTCATAGCTATGTTCAGATACCCAAAGGAGTAATATAGTTAAGGGGATGGGTCACATGCGTCAGATGAGATTATACCTGAAGTTCCCTGCCTCCAGAACCCCGCCTGGGTTCCGGCAGAGCTCCCGCAATAGGTGGGTGGACCTCCCACAAGGCCTTGCTGCGGACCTACGGGTTGCAATCTCGCCTGCCGCCTTCCTCTCGTAACCTCAGACTAGACTGAGAGTAAAAAAGATAGAAGTAGAAAGTTCAGACTCTCCAGATCCGAGAGTGGGACAACTCAACTCACAATGAGAGGGCCTTGAAATCTGGATGCGCCCGAGGGCCCCGCAATGATGGCCAAAAATACGCAGCAAGAGTGGTCAATCTTGCGATCTGACAGAAATGGAAAGCTCGTGCTCAGACGGTGTTCCCGGTCGCGGCAATAACCTTCCCTTCAAGCCTGACTACCTCCCTCAAATCGCACCACTGCCCTCTAACCAAACCGTACTCGAACAGCTCAGGATGACAACAAAGCATACTCTATTGTTCTCTCCGGAATGCAGGTGAGAATCCGTGATAGTGCACACATCCACCATGCGCAATAGCTAGGCAATGTAGCAACGCTCAATCAACGAAATCCGCCCTGAAATACAATAATAAGCAGCTGTGCATAGTTGCGCACAGTGTTGCTTGGTAATCAGGCTATGGTCGAGCACACAGTAATGCTACAACAAGCTCAGTAAAACTGAGCAGTCCCGTCCTGAATGCTGGGCACCA